GTCTTCAGCGCTTCTCCATCCTCCTTAGCTCATTGAAGTTCGCCCTCCTAAAATCTAGGGCCACCACATGACTGCTTGCCTTTGCCACCTTGCGCTGAATGGTGAATTCTAGCAGGCAGTGGGAGGTTCAGGTGTTACATCTTGTGTTGCGTCAGAGTTGCCTGAGTAGTTTGGCTAAGAGGTTGGACCATGGGTTTGTACAGGATGGTTTGGAGAGGGATGATCCTGCCTCAGGCAGGGGGTTGGACGAGATGTGACTTCTGGAGTTCCCTTCCAGCCCCACTTCTCTAGGATTCAGTCATTTTAGGCCACATGAATCTTTGCATCCCATTGCTCATAAAGCTCCTTTCTGTAGAAGGACATCAGACCCACTCGAGGTCCTGCCACGGAAAGTGTGGGGGCTTCACACGTTCCCCTCCGGCACATACCAGAAGCATAGCGAAGGTGGCAAGGAGAGTGGCTGACTCCAAAACTTGTCCTGAAGTGACTGTGGGACAGGCTGGGAAGGCTAGGCCTCAGCTGCCTTTTAGAAGTACAAGGAGGGTCAGTCTCACAGTGCCTGGACGACTGCTTAAACCTGGAAATGCTCTTGAACTGGGAGCCATGAACAACTCCCCCCTTCCCCTGCTGCACCATCCATCAGGGATGGCAGCACCGCACGAATTGCAGGCTCGCACCCTCCTTCTGCAATTCTGGGCGGGAGGGAGCAGCTCTTGACCAGCCGCTCTTCTCTGCTTCTCCGTGGCTCTGTCTGCGGTGCTTCTAGGCTGAACCTGCGGGAGCTGGGTCCCTGGGCCGCCCACATGCGCTGGATCATTTGGATTATGGCATCCATCGGCACTGTCTACGTTTTCTTCTTCCACGAGCGGTGAGTTTGTGTCGCCACTCACGCTCCGCATCTGCGTGTTGTGCTGTGGGGCTGCCCAGCCTCGTCTGCCCTCCTAGATTGGACCAGAACCTAAAAGTGAATGAATGCAAGGCAGTCCTAAAGCCAGGGCATGCTGGACAGTCCTCCTGTGCGTGTAGCTTCTCCAGGACTCCCTGAGACATGGGCCCCCTCCCTGCACTGGGGCCAGGAAGCAGATGCCCCACTCTGGTTTTAATCAGCTGTGGAACGTGATCAGGACGTGGGCTGAAATGTTGCCCTTCTTCCACGGGGTGGCAGCAAGCAAAAAGGAATGGGTCACATTCCTTCCAAAAAAGCCAACCAGGATGGGATGTGGCCAGCCGCTGGGCAAGTTTATAGTAGAGTCAGGGGCATTTCCTGGCTAAGAACTACCCTTTGCAAGCCTCTGCACCTACCCCCAGGCAGAAAGTCGCTGCCTAGCAGGGCTGCCCAGGGCAGGCAGCGCAGCGTGTTCATGGGGTCAAACCCCAGGGGCTTTACACTCTAGACCAGGGGTAACCAACCTGCAGCATGGATGTAACTAATGGCAGGGGCAGCCTTTGTGTATGGCCTGTGGCAGGTCAGGATGAGGAGAGGCAGGCTGGGCAGGGAGCAGAAAGCAGAGCAGTGGATCAAGCTGGGAACACAGGGCAGGGACTAGAAAGCAGAGCAGCAGATCAGTCAGGGGATAGGGATCAGAGTGGCACTCGGGGAGGTTGTGGGGCTAATTTATGTCACATCTGCCATAAAAGTTGGCCCCTCACTGCTCTAGAATATCCCTGGCTTTTTGCAATGCTCCCGGGCTTTCCACCCACCCGTCTCAATGTCCCGTGTGAACTGGCCGGAGCTTAGCTCCATATGTCCCCCTCGCCTTTCCCCTACAGCTACCATGTGCAGGATGTTATAGCGTGGCCAAGGATGGATACATCTGTGCTTGGGTCGGGTGTTTTACAGACAGGCTGACTTCAGCGTGGTGGAGAGATGGGACTTGCCTGAGGTCACACACTTGAGTCTGTGGCAGGGATGCAGTTTGAACCCAGGCGTCCTGACTCCCATGCACGTGTGGTTTTGTAATCCCAAGGCATCCTTCTTCCCTTACCCAGAGAAATTCCAGGAGCTGAGCTGCTGGAGACAGGGTGGGCAAGGTACAGGCCTCCCCTCATGTGATTATTATCTGTCTAAACACCTGCACTGATAGTGATCCAAGGTCTCCCTAGCAAAAAGTTACCCTAGGGCTCCCCGCAGTGGCTAGATCTTGTATTTATGGTACAGCCCTGGGCCCTGATCCTCTGCCAGGCTCTATCAGTGTACAGATGACAGATCCCCTCCCATGGCATCCATCCAGCACTGGGCTGCATCCTAGGTGCTGAGGTCAATGGGCCGGGGCAGTGTCTGCCCATGTTTCCTACAGCTAGTGCAGGGCAGGCAGCACTGTGATGGACACTGGGTGTTTAAAAGCAGGCGTGTGCTGCTGGGGCACATGCGTGGTGCTCGCAGGCAGACACCGATTGCCACATGCGTGTTCTCGCACAGGTGCCCGCTGTGGGAGCTTGGAGTGTCAAGCCCATTGTGAGTGACAGGCAGGAAGGGCTCAGTATCATTCAAACCTATTGTCCACCATGGGTCCTCCTTGCACTACCAGTTCTAGGTGGTGGTTTCCTTACAGGTTATGGGGTAGGGAATGATGGGCACAGAGGGGGGT